AACACGCGGCCTCATTGCCTCGTTTCTTGATGTCTCTCCCTGCTCATATCGACTTTTCTGTTGGTCATGACACCTTTTAATTTCTTTATATTCATCAGCTGATATTTGCGTCTCTAGATCAACTGTTCTAGTTTCTTTTGCCCTAGTTGATGTTAGAACTTTAGTCTTCCTTTTGAGCAACTTAGCATCAACCATATTCTGATCTTTTGAGAAAGGATTATCATCAACTTTCATCTTCCGAGGTATATCAAATTTAAGCTTCCCTTGCTAAATAGTCCTCTGTATATGTTGCCGGATAATTCTGCACTCATTAGTAGAATGAGAAGAAGTGTTATGAAATTTGCAGAACTTCTTATTCTTAAACTGATCAGGGGGTAATATGATATGATTGGCGGGCAATTTGATCTGTCCCTTCTCAAGCAAGAAATCAAAGAGCTTGTCTGATTTTGCGACGTCAAAATCATAACTTTCTTTAACTCCTTTTCCCAAAGGATTTGGAACCATCACTATCTTCTTACCCCAATTCCATTCAGTCACAGCAATCTTCTCTTCTTCACCATCCTCACCATCATCATCAGCTAAATATGGATTATAAGCTTCAGCAATTGCGGTATTCTTCTAGAATCGGGTATCTCTACGCATATTCTGAAATTGGCTATTAAGTGATGCCACCCGTTGAGCCAACTAACCTAAATTGTCAAACTCTTGCCCAAGCAGTTTTTCTCTCTATGTTGGCAACATTCCTTGAACTGCCAAAGCAGCTAGCTGATCATCAGTCAGATTCAATGAAAAGCACAAATTTTTTGTTTCTCGGAACCTCTGAAGAAACTCAGCACTCGATTCATTATTTCTCTGCCTTATGGTCGTCAAATCTGTGATTTTCTTTTCTCTCGTCCCAGTATAAAAATATGTATGAAATTTCTTCTCTAGGTTAGTCCAATTGGCAATAGAATTAACTGATAACGATAAACACCAAGTGAAAGCTGGTCCTGCCAGGGATAAAGAGAAGAAATGAACCCGATTAGTTTCTTCAATGGATGCTTCACCCAACTGAGTAAGATACCGACTGACATGTTTTATTGTACTTGTACTATCTTGACTAGTGAACTTAGCAAATTCTAGAACCTTTAATTTGTAGAAAGGGCAACCAAATCATACCACTCTGGATATAGACGTTTGTACGAAAAAGATCTGCCCTTTTGGTTTTAAACCGAACTGATTCTTCATCATTTTAGTTACTTTGAGCAACAACTCATCAGCATTTGAATTCCCATCATTTTAGTTACTTTGAGCAACAACTCATCAGCATTTGAATTTGAATTTCTTTGTAATTACTGACCCATCTGTGGATTAAAATTTTGGGTACCTTGATACCCTGGATTTGGAATCATATGGATGGTATTATAATCTGTGCTATAATGATATCCTTGTGGAATCTCTATCAGTTGAGTCCTTTGCTGATTTGCTGCTTGAAGTCTCCGATTGTAGATGTTGGGATCCGTATATTTACGAATCCTTTGGACTGATGGAGCTATTTTTTTAGCCAACGACGGTATTTGGCCTGATGTGCCAAAATTAACCATCTGATTCTGAATTTGCCCCGTCGGCTGTTGTACATGCTGCACTGATGATCCAGAATTATACTGTATTTGATTAGTAGTAGCGTCTCAAACTTGCTCAGATGAGCTCTGAAGTGCCTGGACATCATTATTGCCAGCTAGTGCTGCTTCTGGATGGCTAGTGCTGGCTTGATTAGTCACCTGAGTTGACGGATGTGAGATATTGTAATAAGCCGGTCCAATCTAATCAATTGGATATTAATGAAACACCATTATGGTATTATGAAATGTGTTCAAGAAAGCTGTATTATGATTCAACATGGCATCATGAACAGATTTGTTTACAGCATCTACAAAGAAACGTCTATCATCAACTTTATCTATATCTGACTGTCCATGTATCAAAACTCTTGATAGTGGATATTTCTGAACAACTTTATTGTCACGTGTCTTGGTGTAAGACAACCAACACTTGTTATGAAACTCCTCTATAGCTTTACTAATGACATCTTTATCCTCATCAGGTAAGTCTTCACAAGGCACCATAAGAATATCCCTGTTGTTGTGAGCTACCATGACGATTGTGTCCCACCGGGCGTGCAAAAACGTGTGTTGACGTAAAAATGTGGCGATGCACCTGACACACAGCAAGCCGGAACGATCTGAGCGAGGTCAACCCGTATATCTTGCTTGGCTTCACAACAGGACCAGTCGATCCTGAAAATCTCAAAAGACGTGTTAATCAATTTGACCTACAATTGATAAGGAGAAGAAGTTTTATCAGTAGTTTAGGGTGGAACATGCCGGTTTTACCCAGACAGTTCCAAGTGTGCTGCTTAGAGAGCAGCCAAACAGGAGAATCGACTAAATAGCCAATACGAGAAGAAATCGACTGTTAAGGACTGTGATGTTCGTGAGCCATGATTGATTTATGATAACAAATACAATGCACCTAGATATAAGTAACATCATCGGCTAGATGGATATAACCAATGTAAAGCATTGAACCGATAAGTTTAACGAGAAAAGATATAACATGCAAATAAATCGACTATCTAGTACAAACAAATCTACAAATTAAAGCTATAATAATGATAACAAACTAAAGCCAAAGAATCTATAAAACCGTCTATATATTGACAGGTTCATGAAAAAAATGCTATGGGGCCGTTAAATTTGGTGCAAAAATTGCACTGTTAACGGCTGAAAGTTACTGTTCACGGCTGATTTTCTCTCACAAATTCCTCCAGATTTCTCCAAATTCCTCCAAGCGAACGGGGCCTATATGTGTGAAGGCACAGGCAAATCGGCTAAAATAGCTGATGCATGCATAGCAAACAAACAGAGTACATATCTTGATTACGAACAAAACCACTAATCGATAATCTCTAATCTAAAGTCTTACCAGTGAGGTTTGACCGGATCGATGCAGCTATGGTGGTGTCATTAGATTAGATCTCATTAACTAGTTAGTTCATCCAAGATCGAAAACATGTCTTTAAATGCATACTATGCTTAGAATAGAGGTAAAACAGTCAATCTAGCAGAATTAAGCCATCAATTATGAGATTCAAAGGGTGACCAAACTAGAAGATGACCAATTATGATGATATGATGTCGATCTATCTCTACCTCAATCAGATTAGACTAGAAGACGATCAATTATGATGATATGATGCCGATCTATCTCTATCTCAATCAGATAACCGGTGAATCAACCAAAAATAGCTAGAAAAATCTTAGTAATCTTAGAAGATTCGATAACTGATGATATTGTATTAAACAAGTTATTTAACACAAGATCGATAACTTTGATCTATATTATGATCCGTAAAAGATCAATCAGCTGATGTAGCCTTACGAATAATGATACAGATCGATAACTAACTTATACTATACTCATAAAAGATCAATCGGCTGATGCAGCTTTACAAGCATAATATAAGTCGTGACGATACTCATAGACAAGCCAGAGGTCGATCAGCCGATGCAGCCATGCTTGTTGAAGAACTCGTCGAGATCTACAGTACTACTACTCCTAAGGGTTGGCGTGAAGCCAAAAAAAAAAGTAATTGTATTGGTTGGTTGTTCGTGTCTTTACAATAACCGGAGTCCAATATTTATATCCGGAACCTAAACATGAATCCTACTCAAATACGACTCATTACAATTCTTGAAACAAAAGAAAATATTCTAACTTAAAAGTAACTTGGACTTTAATCTTTTCCTTTTTATAGAGTCCGACATATTTTTCCCCCGACGCCATCCGTACATGGTCCATGGACGTCGTCTCCTGACGTCATCTATAAAATAGCCGATTCCGACACTGCATCAAAACCAGCTGATATCGATTCACATCTGATCCTTGATGATACAATCTTAGAAGCTTCGAGTTCCCGCTTTCTTCTTTCCAGATTTTGGTGTGAAGATAGCTGAAAAGAGGCAAAGATGAGAAACATTTCATGAGAACATAGCATATACTGGGAGCATGAATGCATGACCAGTCCTTTTTTTGGTAGCTAAAATTGTGGCAGAAGGGGCCAACCTGTCCTGCCTTGCAGCCCCTAAATCAAGATTGAATGCAGCATGAAGTGTTGTAATATGTTCCAGGTTCATTTATGAACAAGAGGGGTTAGTGGATTACTATCCGTTAGCAGCTCAATAGGAGACTTCGGAAAGCCATCCTAGACATGTCAAAATCCTAACAAAGGTCCTAATCATGCTATACAAGCATCCTCCAACATACATACTAATGTGTGCACTGAGCAGAGTCCAAAAGAAATTCACACTACAAGCACCTTATTATATTGATCATTAAACTCAGCAAACACCACAACACATGCAGAATCCTGTAACGACACAATGTCACCTAAAAAGTTCTCATATAAGAACAAAATAACTGTCCCAAAAGCCGATTGTTCAAAGTTTTACAAATACCTCAAAAGCAGAACCTAGCATAATTTGCATAGAATTGAATTAATTGACATGGAAAATCAATAGCACAATATGCTATAACCAATATAAGCCATCACTCCACAAACAAAAAACATGCCTCTTCATAATATAAGCAGTTCCTAAATGGCGTACTCCCATTTTTTACAAGGTCCATCTCGATAAAATTGGCAGCTAGCTGGCTCCATCAATGTAGGAAAAATGTTCTAATGTTAATTACCTCATGCAGTATTATTGAGGGGGGAGGCTAACTGAATGCATCATATTAAAAATCCTTGACAATATATCAATTATCGAATCATGAACGCATAATAGACTCGAAGTATAGTTCAGACAGACATACAGTAATACATCAACATGTTATATTGTTACACATATTAAGCATCATGCTTCAAATGTTTCAAACTTATGACAAGGCAACGGACCGACTGATAAATAGAGGAACTCAATAACATCATCGAATAGGAATTACCAATTCAATGCTCCTCTTTAGCTCCTCTTGCGGTCCCTGTTCTTCTCCCCAGATCGCTTTGCTCCCCGATGATCATGTCGCTCATCCTCATCCGACCCACTGCTTTCTGACCGGTGGTGCCTCCTCCGCCTGCTGGATTGCTTCTTGTCATCTGCAGAATCACTGCCTCCATTGTCACAGTCAGATGCATCCCTCCGGTGATGGCTCCGCTTGCGGTGACGTCGATGCTTCCTTTCTTCACCTCCAGACACATCCTTCTCATCCAAAGAGTCGTCGCTCCTGCGGTGGCTCCTCCTCCTCTTCCTGTCCTTCCTGCTCTTCCTGTGCCTGTGCCTATCTGAGTCACTGTCATCGCTGCTATCCACATCTGATCTTTCATGCTTCTTTGATCTGCTGGACCTCTTCTTCCTGTCTCTGCCTCTTCTGCCTTCCCCATCTTCATCCTCACTATCATCACTCCTTCTACTCCTCGTGTGCTTTGATTTCCTCTTGCTGCTGCTGCTCCTATGGCGGTGGCTCGACGACTTCTCTTCCTGCCTGGGCCTCCTTCCCCCATTCCTGGCGCGCTCGCGCTGAGCAATTATCTTCTCCAGCTCAGGGTCGATGTCTGAATCAGAGGAATCGCTGTCCTCGTCCTCCTCTTCCACATCATCAGAAGCCTCATCTGCATCCCCACCGGCAGCAGCCTTCTTTTTTATCTCGTCGAACTTGGCCTGCGCGGCCGCCTGGGCGTCGGCGTCGTCCAGGTCCAGGTCCTTGACGGAGAGGAAGTTGCGGCACTGGAAGGTGAGGTGGCCAACGCGGCCGCACTTCTTGCAGGCGCCGCGTGTCTCGTCGGAGTTGGAGCCGGTGATGCGGGCGAGCGCGAGGAGGCCCTGGAAGCTGGTGTAGGCGTTGCCATCGCCCGAGCCGGATCCGGAAGCTGCTGCGGCGCTGGCGGCCGCGTTGGCGTCGTTGGCGACCGCGGCGGCGGCGTTGGCGGAGACGGAGGAGGAGGGGCGGCCCGGTTGTTGCTTGTTGTTCTCGGGCGCGTAGGGGTCGTATCCGATGGCGCTCTGCCAGATGCCGTGCGTCTGCAACGCCGCACTGCTGTGCACGCGGTTGTTCGCGGGCATGCGAACGCGCCCCGCCGTCGCCGGCATCTTCGATCGCCGCCGGTTGCGCTCGGGGGAGGACGAGGGGTAGAGTTAGGGTTTGGAGGGAGGGGAGGATTAATTGGGATCTGGGATTGATTTCGGCTCGATTGGGGAACGCGTCGAATGGGGAAAAGCGTAGCCGCGACCGGAAATACAGAAGAGCTCTCAAGTCGGCGGCGTGAAGTCGGGCTCGTGTGGCTGTTGTGTGTGGGAGAGGCGGCCAGCTGCCAAGATCGTTACCACCAAAAAAAAGAAAAAAAAATAGTGAACTTTCTGAGTCTCTAGTTCTCTACTAAGGCCGCGTTTAGTTCCAAGCCAAAAACCAAAAATTTTCAAGATTTTCCGTCACATCAAATCTTGCGGCACATGCATGGAGTACTAAATGTAGACGAAAAAAAAACTAATTACACAGTTAGCCGAGAAATCGTGAGACGAATCTTTTAAGCCTAAATAGTCCATAATTGGATAATTTTTACCAAATAAAAACGAAAGTGCTAAAGTAGCTAAAAGCCAAAAATTTTCGGAACTAAACGGGGCCTAAGCGTAAATAAACTAAGACGTCCCAACGGTTGTCAAATAGATAGTCTAGGTAAAATTTTATTGTCATGTATAAAATTCTCTTTGCAGGGTTTTAGATGGAACATAGCGCATTAACTTAAATATTAAGATGCATCTAATCATGGTGAAATAAGATCTAGCACTAATTACATCTAGGGGTGAAACTGGATGGGATCGATCGGGATAAACCCTCTATTGTTTTTACTTTTGCATTTTAATACGGAAACGAAATCGAAATCGGAAAGGCCGAAAATGGAAACGAAAACGGGATTAGAAATAAAAAAAATGGGTCAATTCAAACGCAACATGTTCATAATGAACGGGATCCGAACAAACAAAACAAGAACATCGATATATAGAACCAAGAAACATGATTTCACATATTGACCATGGCAACGCTGCCAACATATAAATAATTCTAAACCATACCGTATGGTTCGTAAGATGACAAGAGTATAGCAATGCAAGATCATGAGATAACAAGGCTACTATTACGTGGCATAGATGAAGAATGTGATGTATTATTGCACTTCTTAAAACGGGATATCCTCTGCGAACAAAAGTAGGATATCCCAGCAAAAAAAAACAAAAAATGGTAAAAGAAACATCCATATCATTTTCATCCTGTTTTTGGTTTACCAAAAATAGAAGATCTAAAAAAGGTCGGAATAATCATCAATACAAATTCAAACAGGTTAAGTATAAGAATCGGTACAGAACGTAATGGGATTTATTTCGCCTGTTTTCATTCCTTGTTACATCTACAGGGTACAACTTTGGGACGCCGACAATTTCTGCTTTGCATGTTGTACCTAATGATGCTTGTGCAATTGTGCGGGCGGCGCGATAAACAATGGTCGTTGCCATCACAACCGCGGTCTTGTCTGGCGTGTACCAATGTAGGTTGTCCTCTACGACGAAGCGTGGCAAAGATAAAAGTCAGATACTTGCACGTGAGGATACGGAAAAGAGCACTGTGAATATGGGCAAGTCTCTAAGGTTAGCCAACTCAAGATGTCGTCGTAAGATGTATGATCTATTATTAGTGGTAATACAAATCGTCTATTTGCTAAGCGATGTTATATATGAAGTAGAGGAAAAGACGTACATCGTAGTCAAGCTTTCAGCTAAGTGTCTGTTTGATGGACTGGGACTAAGCATGTCTAAAAATTAGCAAGCTAAAAATCATTTACAACAAATAGACGATTTGCATTACCACTAAAAATCATTTGATGGACCAGGACTACTCCTAGCTTGCATTAGTCACCTCGCTCTAAATTTTTTGCCAGTGATAAATCCGAAATAAAGGATGACTATATTCAAATATCAAATTAAATAAGTCTTTGGATGATATTTTTTTTCACCAGAATTTATATTGCTAACAATTACTAGTAAAAATATAGAGAGTCTCGTAGAGTTGCTCTAACTCCGTTCATGAGCGGGCTGGAGTTCAATGTAGTGGCTGCTAGTTCCCATTCAGGCATTCACACCTTGCATTGTATATTGCTCTTATATTTGAAAACCGGCTTAAAATCTTGTTCTATAATTTAGCTTCAACTTTTATTTTAGAAGCATGCATCTTTTTTTTGTTTGTGAGCCAACTATTATATTTTTGGAAACTGAATAAATAAATATTTTATATAAAGCTCTGGTGATACTGAATACAGAAGTTTTTTTTTAAAACACAATACAAAAGTTTTCAAATGGCACCGCGAACGGTCGGACTCTCGGCTCTGGTCGAACCCAACCGACTTCAGGCTGCGACAAGACCGGTTTCTTTTTGAGTATTTTTCTCTTTGAGGCCTTCTTTAATTTCTCTCTCTAAAATTTACTCTATGTCCCATCAAGACACATGGGATATTAAATATAGACTAAAAAATAATTAATTGCACGGTTTACGACTAATTTGATTTTTTAAGCCTAATTAGCCCATGATTTGACAATGTTACTACAGTAACGCATGTGCTAATGACGTATTAATTAGACTTAATAAATTCGTCTCGCGGATTCTGTAATTTGTTTTTTTATTATTATCCGAACACCCCATGCGACACCTCTATGTGATACCTGATGTGACACCCTAAAACTTTACAAATTTAGGCCATGTTTGGATTTTATGGCAAACCTTTAGCCCTGCACTTTTAGTTTTGTTTTTGCCATAGGGATCAAATAGAGGGCTAAAAGTGAGCATATGGTTAAAAACTGGGCTAAAATCTTTTCCTCTCAAAGAGGCCCTAAACCGGGTTAAACTCTCTTGGGGCGGACACTGGACGTCCATACCCCTTGTCGCTTGCATGCATGATTGTGCATAGATAATTAAATGAGAATAAATCAGTTATTATAGATTAGATGATTAAAGTTTAACACATAGCCGAACTAAAGTTTAAAGACTAAATTTTAAGCACTAAACTTTAGTCATCGCACTAGTTATCCAAACACCACCTTAAACAGGGCCTTAGCTTCGCCTGCCGCAGGCACTGCCGGCTAGCTCCTAGGGTTTTGTTTGGAAACCCCAATCCAATCCCCAGCCACATCAGCCGCCGCCGCCGTCACCGCCGCCGCCGCCTTTGGTCGCCGCTACCGAAGCGCGCCGCGGGCGCGGGCGCTTAAGCGATGGCGAACCGCACGGACCCCCTCGCGAAGAGCATCCACGGGACGAACCCACAAAACCTGGTGGAGAAGATCGTGCGCACCAAGATCTACCAGAGCACCTACTGGAAGGAGCAATGCTTCGGCCTCACCGCGGAGACGCTGGTCGACAAGGCCATGGAGCTCGACCACACCGGCGGAACCTACGGCGGCAACCGCAAGCCCACCCCTTTCCTCTGCCTCGCGCTCAAGATGCTGCAGATCCAACCAGACAAGGACATCGTAGTTGAGTTCATCAAGAACGAGGATTACAAGTACGCTCTCTTCCTTAATATTGTAGGAAATTGGTTCCTGTACTGTGTTTTTAATCCATTCGAATAACTTAAGACTTCCTTTGCTTTTTAACTGACACAGCATCGATGTTGCTGTTCTGCGTTTTCTTGTAGGTATGTTCGTGTTCTCGGGGCCTTCTACTTGCGCCTCACTGGCACCATTGCTGACGTCTACCAGTACCTTGAGCCGCTCTACAATGACTACCGCAAGATCAGGGACAAGCTCAGCGACGGACGTATGATCCAGTGCCCCCTGAATTTACAGTTTTTTTTTGAAACTATTTACAGTTTTTTTTCCTCCTCAAAAGTCTGATGTTTTTCACACTGACAGTTATAATATAATTGAAACTAGGTGCAAGTATTTGGGCCTGCATTTACATGGGTATCCCGTTTTCATTTCAGGGTTCACACTTACCCATGTTGATGAGTTCATTGATGAGTTGCTGACCAAGGATTACTCCTGTGATACAGCCCTGCCTCGCATACAGAAAAGGTTTGTTTTTAGTTCAGTGAGTCAAAGCCGTGCTCTTGAAAATTATTTTGGTTGTGGCATTTTACATTGGCATACTCGTATTAAAAAAATCTTGAACGCTCAGTTTTGTCTCATGTATGGCATTTTCTGGATTGTTTGAACAGATGGGTTCTTGAAGCGTCTGGAACTCTGGAACCGAGAAGAAGTGCACTTGAGGATGATTTTGAGGAAGAAGAGGAAGACAAGGAGGAACAGCCTATGGAAATTGATGAACCAAACGGTCGTGAAAATGTGAGCACTTTAGAAGTGAATCTGTAGTGAATCTACCAAGTTTATTAATGGCATGCTGAATCGGCTTTTATCATCTTTTCAGGATAACCATCGTGGAAGGAGCCCTGCAAGGGAACGGGATAGGGACCGGGACCGTGACAGGAAACACGAAAGGCATCACAGGTATGCTCCTCATGAACTGCACAGCACTCATATACCAAGTTTCCTGTTGAATTATTCTGACTGTTTCTTCAACTGCTAAATGTGTCTAGCATCAATATTGCATCATGCATTCAATATGTGAACCTAAGGATAGCTGCTTGTTTTGGTTTTAAAGAAGCTGAAATTTCAACGATGTTCTGATGATGTATCAAAATATCATTCTTAATTTGTGAAGTCTAGTCTAGATGCTTTTGATTCTTATTCTTGATATATCATATACCGGAAGCTGTTGCTGCATCATTGCAGTGCTGTATATCAGTGTTACTGCCATGGCATGTTAATATCAAGAGCCATTGGTAGGTATACCACTTCCGACAGTGAAAATCGTGGCTCTGCCAGGTTTCTCTGCACTGATAGTGTGCAGTGAGAAGTATGATGCGTCAAACAGATACATAGTCATAAATAATCTTGAATAGAATATCTTGCTTATTGAATTTCATTGCTCTTGTTTTAGTTCACATTTTGAGTCCATTGCATTTCTTTTCTTTTCCTTTGTTTTGCATGTTTTCCAGCTTCTGTCAGTGACCATTTCAGGCTTTGAGAAGTAATAAGCTTGTTTGCTATCATGAAAGCTTAGTTTTTTTTTTTGTTTCTATGAAATGCTAAACTACATCCGTTCATGTATAAAAGTGTATACTGTGTATAGTCTTATTGATTATTTCATGTTTCTAGTGACCAGCTACAATGATTTTGTTTGCTTTTAGTAAAGCATGGCTGTTAAGGATAAAAATTATCATGTGTGACAATGTTTCTGGTACAGTAACTTTGGGAGGCTGGATTTTTATCAAGTAGAATATGAATAATCTTCTTTTGTAGTTTCTGGGCACGTAGTTAAAAACTACTTAATATTTAACTAACAATAATGGTCAGGTGCTGATAAGTTAATGGATCAGAAGTCCAAGGCATCGTTAAAACTAGAATATAATCTTGAATCTGACCACTTTAGACTGGCACTATTTATCTTGTTAATCAAACTTATTCCATTTGATTATCGTGTAAAGCAGATTTAGTTATTTGGCTGTACATCCACTGGCGGATGATGAGGACTATTTATTCTTTTGGCATGGGGATTTTGATATCTTGAATTAATTTAATTTGGGATTTTTGGTCCCGTGTGATTGACTATTGATGTTTAAACACCTGTAGATAATAACTACATGGACTTTTATGTCTATTTTGCAGGGACAGAGATTATGATAGAGATCGGGATTATGATAGGGATTATGGGAGAGGGCGGGAAAGAGACCGAGATAGAGATCGTGAAAGAGACAGAAACCGGGATAGGGATCGAGACCGTCACCGCTTGCGAGATGACGACTACAGTCGTGACAGGGATCGAGACAGGGAGAGGGACGGTAGGGAAAGGGAGCGCCGGGACAGAGACCGTGGCAGGCACAGAAGCCGCTCAAGGAGCAGAGATCGACGGGACAGAGACCGGGAAGATGGAGAGTACCGCAGGAGGCGTGGTCGTGGAAGTGCGAGTCCTCGAGGACGTGGTGAGGATGGTGGCCCAAGAGAGGAACCAAAGAGGAAGAAGGAAAAGAAAGAGAAGAAGGGTGAAGGAAATGCTCCGGACCCGAATGACCCTGAGATCATAGAAATGAACAAGCTACGGGCCTCACTCGGATTGAAACCACTGAAGTAGTTTAAACCAGAAATGTTCAACTGGACGTGCACCCAACCTTTTTTGTGCTGGACTTTTTTCAGTCTGATGTTATATGCATCAGGGCTATTATTTCTGTCTGCATTGCAATGTGATCTTTTATCCAGTGGCATTGATGCAGCCTAAGTTAAAGTAGAACTATTGCGGCAACTGTCGTCATGGAATCGAACAGGGTAATGCCAAACTGAGTCATCAAGAAGGTAAAAGAGTGGGATGCCGTAACGATGACACTGTTATTTTCTTCGTGTCATTGTTTGTGAAATATATTGGCACATCTTATTGCTGCACTGTACGTGACACGAATTTGTTGCAAGATGGTTCAGTAGGTTGAATGTCCCAGGCCTTAGTACTGGCTTTGGCCCAAATCTGCTCCTGCGTATCATATCATTATAATATTAACCAGAGGAAAAAAAAATGTTGCAAATACAAACATCAAGAAGCACCAAAACATAGAAGAACGCACTCAAATGCGCACCGGAGTTGCTAATTCAACATTCGCTGTTTCGCTGTCAAAATTAAATACTCAAAACGCGCACACGTTAGGAAAACGGCCAAGGAAAGCTTTCACCGCAGCAGAGGGTCATTTCGCCCCTGCGGCTGCAGTGCACCAGAGGCTGGCTCAGATTAATCGAATCCATGAACTTGTATCATTGCTCATTGATTACTTTACTCAACATGATGCGGCATTATATGAAAAGTTCTCTGGAGGGAAACCAGAAAATAAAAGAAAACAAAGAATAATCTATTTATCAACATCGTTTCATTGATTACTACTACAGCCCAAATTCAGGGTTTCAGGTTGTTCTAAGCTTTCTGCGACTGTCTTAAAGCAAAACCCGCAGTTATACAGCACAGCAAGCAGGCATGCCTAAAGAAGAAATGACAACATTACTTGCCTATGGACATCAGAATCTTCCAGCTCAAACGCATGTGCAACGGCATTGGCGCGACAAAGCTCAGCTTCTCCAGATCAGAGAAATCGTGGTCAGCATGTGAAGACTGCAGCTGCTGCATAGCTGCTGAGATGTCAGGAAGGATCATCTGCTTGCAGTGTAGATGCAGCTGTGGCTGCTGCTCAGCTACGCTTCCACCGCCCAAAGCAAGCCCAAAGGGAAGCTTCCTTTTCTTGAGAATTTCCTCGTCGATTGTTTGCGGCATGGGAAGAGGCGTCCAGTTCTGGTGCGCTTGCCGTCCAAACCTGTAATCCCCAACGATTGGTGTTCCCAGAACCTCCGCACAATGAACTCGGAGCTGGCTCAGTTCAAGAATAAAAAGGAGAGTTTTTCAGAGTGGCTAGTGTGATCGTGGTACCTTGCAAGTACAACAAAACCAGTTTGTTCAGAGATAACTGACATAAGAGTATTATAATTACCTGATGCTTCCTCCCAGTTCGAGGGAATAGCTCTAACCAAGTGTACCCTAGAATCATTAGCAAACTTCAATATTATTGAATCACAATAGCAGTTATATGTGAAGTAATTTCACACCATATTAGGATGGACTTTCCTTAACTAAAAGCAATTTCACTGCATCACATTTTTTGTTGCTTACTAACAATATCCCAAACCCATCACTAAAAAAGGACAACGATATTCAATAAAATGATGCATCATAATTCAGCAATCTACTTCGTTTGCTAAGCTTACAGTGGCTATCGTCATCCAGGACACCTAACGTTAGGAAACATAAATTACATCATCAATGTTTATCAATAATACCAAAACTATATTACAGTTTAATGTCTCTGAATTTTCCTTGAATGAATTTGTTCCTATTCACATCTGATTTGATATCTGTTTGACATTATTTTTATCAGCAGCATTAGTGGCCCGAGTTCTACACTATCTGATGCTACTTATTCCATTTTGAAATGACACTGCTAGCAGTAATAATTTACTTATCCATACAATAATAAAATGCATTTCCACCTCAAAATGCATTTTTGTTTCTTGCCTACCTTGAGGACAAGACTCAATCACACAGTACTCTGTCAGAGCATCTTGAACAGAAGCAGTATTTGAACCAGCGCAAACAGTCAGACGCTCCGACCTGCCATCTTGTAATACAACCTATGAAAGTGCAAGGCACAACCATAAAATACTACTGATGGAAACAGCAATCAATATAGTGGGTGAACAAACCATATGGAAAACGAAGAAGAGCTCCAAGATGGATCAGAGTTCCAAAAGGTGTAGAAAAGAAAGAAAAGTTGGAGACAAACAGACATACTGGAGTTCTATTCCAAAAGGTAAACCAAAACTCACTGATAAACTTCAGAGAAACCAAAATATTCCACCAAACACAAATCAATAATGCAATTACCCACATGCATGATTAAAATTAGCATAGTTGATTGACCTGTACATAGAACAGAAACATTTTCTATATATTATACAAATTTCGTCGCCAACTTACATCATGGGACTATGGAAGAGACTGTTTCAATTAAATATATGTTGTCTCAGCATGATAGTAAAGTCTTTTTATTTTGGGGCAATAAAATTTCTTGAAAAAATAACTGTATGAACCTTTCAAAAAGATGCATCAGAAGTGAGAACACTCCTATTCCTTTTTAAAGGAATTGAACACATGAAGTTCAAAATACAAGTGAGTCCGGCTGCTACCAGAGTTTTAAGTACTGGTGGAAAATCACCTGTTGTATAAAGTAGAGCAGGAAAGGTGCAATTTTCACTGGCAGGTATATCAACTGATTCTAAGTGAGATGCAAGTCACATATGATAAATATCTTCAGAAGGTTACCTATATAAGAATGAACGTAACATACTGAACCCCATGAGTGAGCATACCTAACTGGGGCTTAGTAGAGCAGTTTAATTGTTTGACGCTATGGACCTGCTAGGTTGACTGCCACCACGAGCCACCGCCACAGGTAAAGCTGCCACACCTATGAAGTCTGCTGTTTGGTTGATCAGTAAAGTTCGGCGCGCCACAGTTTTTTTACTAGTCTGTGGCGGAGGTTTTTGCCGCCATAGACTTGGCATGGCACACTACGGCTGCGAACCAAGCAGGCCCTTTATGAACCTTGCTATATATTAGACTATATTGTACAACTCCGTTCTCACTGCACTCACAGGCTCGTTCAATGCACACGGATTTGGATGAGCCACCAGATTAGTGGATCATGCTGCCATGGTCGTACAGGCGTCAGGTGACTCAGTTGTATACATAGCTATTCTCTTGCCTTTTTCCACACAGGAAACAACATCAAGGTTTTGAGGGGCCCAGTGAATGCATATCTTGAGGTGGGAGAGCACATAGAGATTCGATTTGCTGAGTAATCACCATTTCATCAGTCAGAAGTGACAAAAACCACCTCAGGGGGCATAAATATACGGTTTTGTAGTCTTGGGCTAAATAGGCACAATTTGAGTTGAGAATGTCAAATGGACTTCTCTTTCCCAGATAAGAAACTCCTGCAAGTTTGCATGCATTGGTATCTCCACTGAGCATGAAAGAAAATAAAGTAAATGGATGAGACCTACATATCTTTCATCATACTTCACCGAAAATGGAAAATCTTTTGAACTGGGATGGCCAAGATAAGTAAGAGAAATACTATGTTGATATTACAAAGAATGAAGCAACAGGCTCCAGATCAAATTCTGAAAAGCAAATAAAAAACATTACTGCCTACAAGTTGCTTTATGATTTTTTTGGCCTGATTCGCCAGGGCAACCATCCTATTCTCAAGCAATAATATGCATACAACGATAGAAAAATGCTAACTGATGTCTCCAGTTATACCAAAATGCCAACTGAGTGTCTATAGTGCTACTTCACAGGCTTTACGAAGCCAAGTTGATATCAATGTATAAACATGAACTTCAAGCTTACTCACAGACACAATAAGAAAATCTGATAATACTCCCTCTGTCCTGAAATATAAGGAATCCAGTTTTGTCCTAAGTCAAACTACAGTAAGTTTGACCAAGTTTATAGGAAGAAAAATACGTAGGACTTGAAATTAGCTTAATAAGATACATTATGGAATATATTTTTATAATATACGTCTTTGATGTGGCAGATGTTAATATTCTTTTCTATAAATTTGGTCAAAGTTACTAGAGTTTGACTTAGGACAAAACTGGATTCCTTATATTTCAGGACGGAGGGAGTACTTCTATATCTTGTACTAACACACTGACTGCAATGAGTGTAAGAAAGAACAAAGGTGCAAACAAAGGAACATTGTAAATGCATGGATAGTCAAACTCCAACAAGTAGCTCGTAACAAGCTGGAAACTGGCCTAGCTTGAAACAGAACTTACCAAGATTTTGATAAGATCCATACAACTGCAATCATTTTATGACAAATTTAGGTAGTAATGGACTGGAGTACATGAGAACCAAAGTTTATCAAATTGTCAGTATTAACCGAAAGACCAAAACAAACAAGAAAAAAGGGAAAAACTTGGCACACAGAAACTGCAACTTAATTCCTGCTACCAGGAAAACAAATAACTGCAATTTCACCATTAAAATGTCCTTTGGCAAACTTTGTGGAGGACTGTATTGTTAAATACAAATGAGGAAAGGAAACATTTTTTTATTTTATTTTCTTATTTTAGTGAAGGGCGGGCCTGGTGCAAGCGGTAGAGTCTTACCGCCTGTGACCGGAAGGTCCCGGGTTCGAGTCGCAGTCTCCTCGCATTGCACAGGCGAGGGTAAGGCTTGCCACTGACACCCTTCCCCAGACCCCGCACAGAGCGGGAGCTCTCTGCACTGGGTACGCCCTTTTTTTTATTTTCTTATTTTAGTGTACCTCAAGGGATATTGTTAGAAGCATACTTTTTGTAAGCAAGAATATGACACAGAAATTGATGGATTGCATTGAGCCTCATAGGCGGTGAGCAATATGATACTATTCCTATTTACTCAATAACCATTCTAATTACGTGCGGGCACATGGCCCATAAGGACATCAGACGAGCGACCCATTGGGCCAGCTATCATGTGTCTATAACACTTTTATATTGCTTTATCACATCACAATGGCAAGTCAAACATGTATCCCTGATTCTGATTTGCATAATGCATATACAGTTAATTTTTCTTTCAGTGGCAAAATTGCAAAAGAGTTAAAAATGACAAATATGCATAACAGCTGATGACCTAGCAAGTACGAGTTGTTCATATAGTCTCTCGCGTGAACAATGGTGAGACCACTACAAACAAGAAGAAATGGAAAACTTGCCATTGAGTATCTGTAGAGTATCAAATAACTTTCAGATATAGAAATACTACTAGTTTGAGATTGTTGTTCAAGAGAATTTCAGGTTATTCCATTGTCACTGAATTGTGCACATTTCTGTCCTATAATTAAGAAAAGATGAAACTAGCAAAGAAAGGTAACAATATCCATACAAACCTTTGCAAGTGGAGCTGACAATAAACCCTTGGGATGCCTAGGGGTCTTCCAATAACAAGTGCAACATATTTTCTTTGCAGTACTTGTTGAGTACCCTTGACATAATGGAGAATATTGTCAAGATACATAGAAGATAATAACCTTGCAGTTGAATAAGAATACAAAAAATGGTGTAAAACAGAGTAATATTATTTTAATAACTTACATCACCTAAAGCATCAGCAGTTTTCTCACGAAATATAGCATGCATAATGGAAGTGCTAAGTTGAGTTCTTCCCAGAACTAGGACACCACTGCAATCCCTATCAAGCCTGTGGACCTTGTGAAGTAATAAAAAAGAATATTAAGAAACAAGCAAGTCATGTATAAACTTTCAAACAAGTTGTTTCTTGGAGTGGTGCCAATGCAATGCCAATTTGCTGAGGAACTAAGAACACAAGAGAGAGCTTGTACAATCAGAAAGCATGCTACTTTAACGCTATAATGAGGGTATTATGACATTGCCAGTTTGAACCAGAACATAGCATTCACTAATTTGATATTGATCTACCACTCTACCTTGACAAATTCACATATGGCTATCATGTGTTTTCTGAGTCAACCATAGTTGAGGACGTGCTAGCGCAGTGGTAGGGAAGCAGAAGTGCAACCTACAGTTTGGGAGTTCAACTCCCCATTCTAAAAAAAAGCCACTCCTTGTGCTATTGTCAGTGAACCCACGTGGTCCACTAACGGTCGCAGTGTGATGAGCGGCTGCAAGAGCGTCGTTGCCGTTAGTGGCACGTCCTGAATAGCCAGGGTTCATGGCCTTTTCTTGACCCTATGGAAGAGAATCTTCTACCTTTCCGTCAATACCTCAGGGGAGGTCTTACCCCAGGGGTCTTCTTTTTTTTTTAGTCAACCATAGTTTAGAACCTGTATTCTGTAATACTGGCCTAGTCGGTGGCTTCTTATGATCCCCCCGCCTATGGAGAATCAGAAGGGTCAGGAAGAAGAAACACATGGATGTAGAAGTATTGGAGGAGAAAGGAAAATGACAGAAAATTTCAGTCCAGTTCATCCATCTACAGCTTGTGGCTTATATAACAATGCCACCCAAATAAGCCTGGTCTTTGGGTCCACGTGTCATCCCATGTCTGTGATTCTAACAGCAAGCTCCTAGATTACAGGACTTATCACTAAAGCGAATAACTCCTCTAGTACATCAAATTTAATGCCTCACAAGGTGCGCTTGTTTGTAAACTGTACCTCATTACATAAGCAAGCTGCTAGTGCTATACATGTTGACATAGATGATAGACTAATAGCTGCTATATTTCTTCTAGATCCTTGAATCAATGTTCTAAGTTTAGTTAAGAACCAATGACCACGCTTCCAAGTGGTTATGCGAGTTGGTGACCTTGCAATGGAGAGCAGGTTCCTAGCATTCATATTCAGCCCTAGAAATAGTGGAGGGACCTAAAACACTCTTACAATAATGATGTTCTTGGCAGTTGTTATGTCCATTTTCAAACAGCATTACATGTAAATTATCACCTAAAACCACATGTATTGTTTGTTAAACAAAATAATAATAATAATGTCATTGCATTCTTGGTTGTGACTGTAAGATGAGGATTAATAGAACGCTAGCAGAACATATTCACAGGCTATTATTTAACTTGATATTAATGAAATATCTAATTCTGTTTGGATGTTCAAATTCTGCAAATTGCTTTTATAAAGTTCTAAAAAGGGCCATAGAACTCTAGTCTTTGACTTCTTCTCCAGTTTGACTGTCAGTGATGCCCCCGCTATGACTGCGGGGGGATGTTAGAGTAATATTTGGTAGTTAGGATTCTAATTCGGCATTTCTATATGTATCCGGGGAGGCAACTTGCTCCCCAAGTTTCAATGCAATTCATCCCACACATTATACCCAATCTACTACGCTTTCATAACTCTTCAATGATATTTTGGTTAAACCTTCTACTCTCATAAGGTTTTTTTAGCCAAGGTGATACATCAAGTTTGTACAATAAGATACATGTACCATGAGCACTGCAAGTGAGTAGAAACTGCGGCACCCAGAACTCACCAGCCGAGGTGCTTCAGAAGAACCGTCCTCAAACATCGGGGCCAGTATATCAATACTATTTTTTATGCCAACACCACCCTTCAGAATTAAGAAGCAAAAATGTTTCAAAAAGGCTCTGAAATTTTTGTGAACTGCAGATTATTAAGGATATAAAGTTATCTACTTGCACTGGCATTCCAGGTGGTTTGTTGAGCACGATGATGGCCCTATCCTGAAAAAAGTACAGATGCCAATGAGATTATTTACCATCCAAGCTAATCAATATATCTTTGAAAAACAAATATAGATTGACACCTTGTAGATCTCAAGGCCACGTAGAAAATCAATCTCATTCTTGTTACCAAATTTCTTCGTCTTCTCAGTAACAGAAGATTCTTGAATGTTAACAGGTAGAAAGAGAATATCACCAGGCACAAGTTCATCTTTTGCTGAAACCTTTGAAGCAGTTAAAACAAGGTCACATACTGCAAGAGAGGACTTAGTTACTAGTAAAACATTGTGCTCTATAACCTCATTAGACTACAACTGAAAACTGTCTCACTTTATAATACAATTGGCCATTCTTCATCCATGCAAATCTTTTCTTTGGCAATAGACCAATAACTACATCAAAACATGATACATGTATGCAGGATGCAGTATAAAAGAACAAGGCTTAGTGATATGGGATGATACAATATGTTTTCCATGAAAAAAATACTGGAGGCACAAAGTCACAGGAACAAAAAAAGAAGAAGAAAACAATGTGAAAGATTTGTGGCTCGACAAACTTCCCAAAATAACAAAGAAAATACTGATAACTGCTAAAATTTAAATGAAAGTTTCTGAAAAAATGAAGCATTACATTGAAAGTTTGCTGCTAATATCACCAATCCATGTCATTATTTGGTCAGTGATTGATACTGTGCCTTTCAAAATCATAAACCATGATGACAAGTTACCAAGTTCCTCTTTTAAGTAATAGTAACATGGGAAGATAGGTCATAATTGAAGGGAACAAGGATGTGATGATTGACTAATCAATTGTTTTGCTAACATGTGGCCCCATGAACCAAATACCCATGATACATCAAGTGTCAAACTATCAAGTGCAAAGATAGATTGCAAATTCCACAAAATTCAATGCTTGCGGAGCAACTCTGGGTGTGTTTGGTTGCCTGGGCTTCCCTGGCCTGGCTAGCTACAGGTAGCCTGGGTGGGCTTCGCCTGGTTACTGCAATGCAAGGTGGGTCTGTTTGGTTGGTTGTACTGGGCTAGCTAAGCTTGGCTTGGTTTTCATTTGGTTGCTGTGTTAGCCCCAAACTGCATTGGCCCGGCAGAACTTGGCGTGTTTGGTTCCCTCTTCTTCTGTTTCCTTGGCTTCACCCCTCCCTACAGCGGTGATCTTACCTCCCTCAGACATGTTTTTTGCCCATTGTCCTTAACGCTTTCTGAGTGAGTTATTTGCAAACAGAAATGGCAACTCTAATCATACAGATGATCAACAATTTGGAAAATGCATTAGGGAAGCCTGGCTAGGCCCTTAGCCAGGCAACCAAACACACCCAAGGATCCATTTAGCATTGCGGTGGCCTTTTCAGAAGTACTTATTCCTTTCTAGATCTGCCTGTGACAGTTGGTTATGAGCATCTTTTTAGGATCCGTGACAGAAAAATCTTACTAGCATTAGTAAAGATCCTGAGCATAGTGCAGCACAGCACAACCACCACAAATGGCCCTAAATCAAGTTGATGGCTACATACACATGTAGGTTTCTATACTACGAAAGCACATCTTTTATCTAATTACTATTTTTTCACGTGAAGAGCAGAAATTCGTGTGTAGGGAACACATTGCTGCACCTTAATGTTAATCACTTTGCTTTAAGATCATAAAACATTTTAAGAAATCATTGCAGAAGCACACCCCTAAAAGTTATAGTTCACTAAGATAACAGATTTACTTTATTTCAAAGAATATCATCCTTCACATATTTTCTTAAAACTGTGGATATGCCAGCAAAGTATGATGTATCCCAATTTCCAAACTAGTACATATACAAAAAAATGTTAAGTAAAAGCATATAATAAAGGGAAAATTAGAACTCAGAATGTCAGGTATTTCTGATTGACTCGTCATTCATTACCCTTCTCAACCGGAGTTGCTGAGCTAAACTGTCTGTTGAAGAGGTATCTGCAGTCACAAGATTCTTCTTCACCTGCAACAGTGAATACATAGGGAAAGAAATATCTTCTTAGAGGAGAAAAATCTGTACTTTGTGGAGGAGAACTCAAGGGATAAAAGAAAAATACTATACAGTTGCTCAAAAGTTAAGGGGGAGGGAGAGAAAATTGGATATTCCAAAAACAACTTTTTTAAACATACAATTATATTTCTAACATATACTCCGCAATGCTAAACATGGATTTTTATCTTGTTTCACTTTCTAAGGTATGAACTAACTGAGGGTGGAGCATTTGGTCGAGAAGGTGGTGCGCGCACCTTGCGGAGGCGGAACAGCTTCTGCACCAGCGACGCCGGCAGGTGTGGGCAGCAGCGCCGGACCCACCTGATAGCCGTGGCATTGGAGCATGCTCCTTCCCCGCCATCTCCCCGAGAGATGGCTCGAGCGGCGGCGTTGGCGTCGAGCGGTGCGAAGGGAGGGAGCTCCACCCACCGCTTCTTGTTCTCCTCCCCACCGCCAATGTGACCGCTATCGTCTAGAGTAACGTGCCCCACTGCGGTGGACAGACCAGCGAAGTACTGTTGTAGCGGCTTTGGAGCTGCGGCGGCGGCGGCGGCCTGGCGGCGGAAGAGGAGCGCTGCCGTCCTGATCGCCATCGAGCCTCGCTCGGCCTTTCCAGCCCTCTCTCGCTTTTCCTAGCCGTTGGATCACGAAAATGAGCCGGACAAGGGAAATTCATGTCCATCCACGTAGTGGGCCGGGATTGGGCCTAGCCAAACAAACCAGCGTTTCTGGATGCATAAGCTCAATTAACCCAAATTCTTCCACTCACAAAAAAAAAAAAAATTCTTAGCTCCAAATAAGAAGGGCAGGCTTGGTGCAGTGATGAGAGTTGTCTCACTGAGTCACCAGGTCACGGGTTCAAAGCAGACTCTCCGTAGATTTTGTGGGAAAAGGCAGAAACAAAATTTCTTTCTGTGCTTCTACGACTAGGTTATCAAACGTCCACCTTGAAATGAGGATCAACAATGTAATGTAACCTTTCAAGAAAAGAGCCAATGAATATACAGGTCCTGCAACAGTCTTATATACAAGCACGCAATTGGCACGAAATAAGCCAAATTGCTTGCGTTACATTTTCGTCATATACACATGTACATGTACTGTACTTAGAAAGCAGTACATCAAATGGAGAACAATCCACACACACCACACACATGCAATGCAATTGACTGTTTGGGCTTGTCGCCGGCCGATACAAGCTATGCTATGTACGTATTTACATAGTCGTACTGTCATCATAGTATATTAAACATTTAATGAAAGGCGTACGATGCGTCCTAATAGCTACTGTGCATTCCCTGCTGGGCTCTGAGAAACCTCATTAAGTCAACATAAACATCGTCCTTTGCCTTCACGCTCACGATGAAATCAATGTGGCCATAGTCACCAATGTACAGCAGCTCTGGCGTGGACCTCAACTCTTTGATGGTGCGCTCAACATCTGTTACGTCAGCCAGTGCATCAAGGCCTCCATAGCCCGTCCATATTGGCAGTGATTCCGGTATGCTGCTTAGATCGAATGAGGGAGGATGCAGATGGCCGTAGCGCCTTAGGTTTCCCCACCATCCATAGTCATACTTTGCGAAACTGCCTTTCCTGATCACTGCATGTCGGAGCAACAAAATCATTTCGGATAGAATGTCTACATAAGCCATGTGGCAAATAAGCTTCAGGAGAAATGGTTGTCCCCAAAAAGCAAGAATACTGAGCTACTAATACACAGTGCATTCAAAAAGGCTTGAAAACCTGGGACTGGAAGTACATGTGGGCATTGTGTTGTGACCTTGACCGAAAAATTTGAAATAATATTCCAAGATCATATGTGTAAACAAGGTTAAGAATTAGAGGAGAGAAAACATACTCTGGAAAAGATGCCGCAAATTTTTTGTTGATGACGGATGGGGTTCATACTCCAAATAATAGTCAATCCGAGATGAATTGAAACAACAGTTTTGACCTGGAAGAAAGGGTGTAAATTATACTATACTAACCACAGCACATAATTCATCATTTATCTATCTGATGTGATCAATTTGGGCTTTTGCATGGGCAATAACATTCTAGTAGCTTTTCAATAGAGAAACATTGACAATTTGAAATAGACGGTTGACTCTTTTTTTTCTTAGAAGTTAATCCATGTGACACCATATAAGAAATGCTGAAAAAGAAAAGTAAATTTTCATCTATTGTGCCATACAACTCGAACAACATTTCCAGATTCCTAATATGGCCAGGAGCTTATTGTTTGTAGAAATATCTATTTGATATTTGGACCAAAATCAAGACAAGTTTTCATATGAAATCGTGAAAGTATGTGGCCAAATTATGGTGCAACCTAAGCGAACTATCCAAAATTAGTCATTTGTTCTATCATACTGAAGAGCAAGCTTACTAGGAAATTAATTCTATGTTTTGCAAAGTAAACTAGCTACTTGCCCTGAAATGTCATATACCTTTTAGCAAGGTCCACATGCATAGTAGCTGTTCAGCAAAAAATGCTGCCAGCTGCTTAAAGCACAGCCCCCCTTCCTAAGAAAGGAAATATATTCCTCCTCCTCTCCCACCAGCCTTCGAAATACACTTTGGTTGTTCTTTGTGCGCAAGGTCAAAAATACAACAAGAAGTGTGCCTGACAAGCTGACACTATGCTGAAGTACTTCAACTTTACCACGACCACACAATTGTACAAGCTTTAAATTGTATGATGTATCCCATCTCATGTGTATATGAAGTAGATTATTTGCTTCTTATGCAGTATGTAAAGTTGCATGGCTCCATGACAAGTAACTACTAACTAGAGGTGAAAGTTTGAGAGGACATTAAGATAACCTTTTAGGGAGAAAACAGGAAGATGCAGTTTAACTAAGTTTAAAGGCCATAGGCTAAAGTCTATAGTGCCTTTGAACTGCCTGGATGATCTGGACACAACTTTTATGCAACTACACATGTAGAATTTATCAAAAGGTGAAGCTAAGGTGAGAAAGGATGTTTGTGGTTTTGTGCATTTGCCGTCAACAAAACACAGAGACTGGTCAAGTTCAGAATCACACATGCATGATGCATTCATGCATGTACCTACATACCAGTGCAGCTGCAAATGTATAGGCAGGGAAACACTTTACACGTGCAGCGCATCTTCTGAAATAGGAGTATAAAGTAGTGTACCATTTAACCATGGATCATAAAGCGGAGCAAATTGGCAGAATTCAGGGTTCACTCCTCATTCATTGCAGTACAACATATACCTCTATTACAGAGGTTATCAAGAACTTCCTTGTTTACATCACCCCTTAAGCATGCCTCTAAAACTAATGATGTTTCCACTAAACGCATTGGTTTATCAATACATTACTATGGAAACAGGAATGGTAACAAGTATAGCTTCGAATGCCATAAAAATTATTGGAATTTATGTGATGCTGCAAAACATCATCATGGTGTCTTTCATAGAATGATAGAGTTCACAGACAGGTTATGCTAATATCTTTTTTGTTCCTTTTACTGTACCTTATAGCATATGATGTTCTAGTTTCTTGATTTATTGGTTAACATTGTAGTGTGCATAGTTATTTAAACATAGACAGCAGGTCACTTGATCAATACAAAATTCAGAGTTCACTTGAAACTCAGATTTGAACCATGGACATCTCATCTTTTTTTCTCAAACACACAGGAGAGCTATGTATCTTTGTATTAAGAAGCAAAAAGGGTATGAGAACACAAACAATCCCCCACCCCACCCAACATACACACGCAAACACATGCACTCAGTCAACACCAACACAACTAGGTAGAACAGAAGAACATGCTTGGACATCTAAATTTTCTTTTATGGAGAATACAGAAAGTAACAAAAAAGAAATTTCTGTGGCATTGCATACCTGTTATTGAAGATAACAGATCGTTGCAGTCCAAATGTTCATCATCACACAGCGAATCTAAAATCTGGACACCCATATCGCTGCTCAAGGAGTAACTTAAAACTATTATAATCATACCCAAGGGGGAAAAAAGGGAAGTCAGGCAAAGAAGTGTCATATGGTCATACCTCCGGAAGTTCAACTGATGGATGCCCATAGCAACAAGCATCTGTGGCAAAAGGGCACCATACGTTGATTCAGAAGTTATTGACATTTATTTGGTAGATTTGTTTAGGCATGTTATATTACCTGGTCAAGATGCATGGCAACTGCTCTAAGAACAAAACTAGCACTGACATGATCAAGGTAAGAAATGGGACAAAGAAGCGCAGCAGAGCTTATCATTTTTACTATTTCAGGCATTGTAAATGCAGCCAGACCCATGATAGTTCCCTACAAAGCCATATACTCGTTAGTAATACAATGGCAAGGTTTTGACTCAATCAAACCCAGCAACAGGCTACCTGTGAACGTCCCACATATGAAATTTTGGACTGTGTAATTGTATATACATAGCTTAACATTGCCAAAACATCGTATTCAGCAAGGTCTTGCCAACTCCATTCCTAGAAAAGCTGCAAAAGTTACCACAGGATTCTATTAAATCAACAATAAACCATAGGATCACAGCTAGAAAACACTTCATTTGCTGCTTAAATCACAATAGGCAGGCACTCTATACAATCTCATCAAAGTTATAACAAGCAGATCTGTTTTTCTTTAATGGCTTCAATCTTCCAATCACATTTTTGCAAGCAATGCAATTCAGGGAGTGGAAATGACAGAAGACTTATTGTGGATATCTCATAGGTTTTTGTTTACGGAGATTTTTACAATGTAACTTCCTATGGGATTCATTTACCTTATCATGAACAGAAAGAGTACAGTGGCCTTTACTCCAACGTGTGCCACGGACATTTCCAATCCAAACATCAAAACCATTATCAGCAAGGATATATCCAATTGATTGTTCATTGGAGTTTATGAACCATGTATCTCCACCCTGTGCAGGATTTGAATAAAGTAACGCAATTGAAGAATGAAATGATGCCAGGGAAAAAAGGTAATCCATTAATGTAAATGAAGCTATGAAGTGCATTATCCAAAAAAAAACATCTAGAAATATCAAAGTGACCAAAATCTTGATATGAGAAGGTCTAAGTAAAAAACATGCATATAGTTCTAAGGAAAAACCTGAAAAAGACCATGTTTGAAGAAAAAAGCGAGGTCCAAAGATTATCTACTATTCCATTTTTGCCATGTGGAATATGTCAAGAGACAAAAGGAAGCCATCATCCGTTTGAACCTGCAACAAAGGTATGCTAAGATCCCTATGAAAAAGAGCAAAGAAACTCAACAAAAGTAGTATGAGAATAATTTTCGATTCATGACTCATACTTGTTACTTATGAACTTAGATGTAAAAAAGGAAAAATGCATGAAGATGTTTGAAAATATTAAGGTTCCAGACCAATTTCATCGAAGAAAAATAAGCTAAGTTTCAATAACAACTTATTATTTCTGATCAGTTACAAACTTATATGTGAGTCCTTTTCTCCTTGAAAAATAAATTGCCAGAATGGGTTTGCAGTTCAAGATCAGAAAAAAACATTGCGTGATAGCAACAGATGTTTAGCAATTCCAATGGATTCACTTTATGGTTTAACATGACTATTAGTAATGAACCCTTTAGTTGGTAGGGGTACACTGCTTGTGATAAAGGTTAAAGCAATAAGCAACAGAAAACCATCAAAGGCATTTGACACACCGGAGAACTAAAAGAAGGCATTTTTGCAAGCTCATAGGAGATGAATTTGACAAACGTTTAGTTCACGGTTCACAGTTCACATGGCACATAGTGGTGCCGTGACAAGCCTTATGTTCTTTGGGACCGGGCCTCAACACTCAAATTACAGAGGTATAAGCAAAGTCTGTGTCTGTCACAAAGTTTCTCCTTTGCTTGGAGTGGAAAGCAAGGATAGAAGCCACTTTGCTCTGATTAACCTAGAGCCGTAGGCTGTAGAGAAATTACTAATGAAAGCCTCTTATCCAATTGAGACAGGCCATTAAATGTTGGCTTTGTTTTCCACTTCTCGGAAAGGGACCTGAGACACAGAGTCCAGTGGTTTTACGGTAACTCCAATTGGAACTAGAACAAATATTGACTCTTCCAGTCTTCCCTCCGGGCATTTGGTTGGGCTCATTATTCAGAGATAGATACAAGGAAACAATTTCCTGGAACACCATTCCCCTCCCCCCTTTGGTTGGGCACTCAAACGATAGAGACAAGAACAACTCGATGCCTTAATGCAATCAATCCAGCAAACTAATCATACCCAACCAACCGATCCTGGTTGCGACGCTAACAATTCGGTCCCGAACAGAAGAGCACAAAGTAAAACGGTCTCTTCTTGCTTCCTCGGTCATGTAATATAGCGCATTCAAGTATTAAAAAATTATACACAAATATATAAGAGATTTAAGAGAGATAAAACGGTTTTTGCATTAAATAGATGTATAAATTTGATAGTTATTATACTATTACTTGCCATTTATTAATCAATCATTATTACTGATGCTGATTGTATAAATGTTTTCTTATATGTTCTCTTTTAATCTGCCCTGAAATCTCTACGATGCACTATATTACAAGACATAGGGAGTACATAGTCACTACAATCATGACTTTAACTATATGTTTCACGATACTCCTGCATTTCAAATTACAATTCACTTTACTTATATCCTAAGTCAAATAGTTTTAATTGCCTTCAACACTAACATCTAAAAGATCAAATTTAATTTTATTAAATTATTGATAAAATATGTTCTTATAGTGCATTTATTTGATCTTTGAAGATATTATACAACCAACACGACTCTTATGCCATTTCATTATGATTTTAGTGGTTGAAATGGCATACACAAACAACATAACCATAATGCATGATAAGATATGTTAAACATGTTTACATTGGTTCTATGGATGCTAAGAAATAAAATGAAAGAAGAGCGACCAAGATCCAAAAAACAATGAAAAAACATACAGTAGATCAGTTGGTCAGAAGCCTTTGGATAATCCATTGAATGTTTGAGAGGAAATAGTGCATAGTGTCATAGGATATTTTGCCCGAGGAAACAGTCACCTAATTATACGGTGTACACAGAGGGTTGCATGAGTTGGAAGTCACGATGAGTGAGACAGAAATATAATTTGATAGTTCATATACCTATGCAAGTTCAACAATCACCGTTGCATTTAACTTTTTTGTTTTTTTATGGGTAGCCATGGTGAAAGAATGTCCCCCTCTCCTGCCATATGGGCCAACCTGGTCTGGGCTGGGCTGGGTCATCTTGGGCCGGCCTAACGAACAAAGTTGGGCCCAGCCTTGCCTCGCCCCGTTGAGATTTCGAAGCGCCGCCGTGTCGTCTTCTGAATACCGGAGGTCGTCGTCGACTCGTCGTCCTTGAAATGGCTTTGGCTTCCTTCGCTGGGGGGTTTTCTTTCTTCCCGGCCGACTCTGTTTCTTCGAACCTTCTTCTTCCAGTCAGTCGTCCTTGGGTCCTTCTCCTCCTCTTCTCCACGCAACGCAACGGAACAATTCCACCCATACTGGAAAACAGGTGAATTTGGGAAAGCAAATCAAGAAGAAGAAGGTTATGGCGTCCATGGAGGGCCTGATCGGGTTGATGAACCGCATCCAGCGCGCCTGCACTGCCCTCGGAGACCACGGAGGAGGAAGCGACTTGCCCACCCTCTGGGAGTCTCTCCCAACAATCGCCGTCGTCGGAGGCCAGGTGCTGCTCGTCTCAATTTCTCTCCGGTCCTCCATCCTCCCATCCAGATGCTCGCTCTTTTCGAAATTAAATATTTTTTTGTGCCAAGTCAAATAATGTTAAGTTTGTCCAAATTTTGTAGAAAAGAACAGAAATATTTATATCGCCAAATTATCACTAGATGTATTATAAAATATATTTTCATAACTTATTTATTTTGTGTCACAGATGTGGTTATACTTTCCTATAAAGTTGGTTAAACTTAAAGATAATTTGACTTTGGGTGCTTCTAAAAATTGATTTTATTTTTAGAACGGAGGGAGTATATATATGTTATTGATTGATCACTTTGTTTGAGGACAGCATGCATGATATAGCTAATAATTCCGCATGGTCCGGTTTACTGATCTACCAGCAATATTTTTTAAATCCGTGCAACAGAGTTCGGGCAAATCCTCTGTGCTTGAGAGCTTTGTTGGCACCGACTTTCTTCCTCGTGGATCGGGTCAGTTCAGCTTTTTGCCCTTTTCAATTTCATTCAATCCCCAACATGTTATAGTTCATCACTTAATTTCTTAAGCAAAAAATTAAGGAATGAACTTTCTCTGAGTTGTATAATAATAATATGTATACAGGAATTGTCACGCGAAGGCCTTTAGTGCTACAGCTGCACCAGACAGAAAATGGATCTCAGGAGTACGCAGAGTTCTTACATAAGCCGAAAACAAGGTTTTCAGACTTTGGTGCGAACCTCACCCTAATTTTGTTTGTTTGTTTGTGTCCTCTATCCACTATGGATCAAAATTATCACACCAGACAACTCTTTGTGACCTTCCCAATTTCTAATTCATGGAAACTTGGTAAACATCGCAACAAGATGCATATAGTGTAGGGTCCAGTTTGTCAAGTTCAGGTCCCTGCTTTCCTCAGCTTGTGTATATTGCTTGTAATGTGTTCCTTGTGATGATATATAAGTAGAATTCTCAAAATTTAACGAGCACACAAATAATAGTTTCTCTTTACTATGGTGCAGCCCTTGTTCGCCAAGAAATTGCCGATGAGACGGATAGACTGACTGGAAAAACTAAGCAAATATCTCCTGTCCCTATTCATCTCAGCATCTACTCGCCCAAGGGTAAATCTATTTACTTTTGACCAATTCCTTCAATCTTCAGTGTGTATCATGCCATATGTCACGTGGCAAATAGTTTTCAATGTTGCAAGTCAGAATTGAATGATTGTATAAAAATGTTTGTAGTAGATTAAGATGCTCCAAACCACATATCATTCATGCAAAAGCATTATCGTTGTCCAGATTTCTAACCTGTTGTAGCTTTATCCAACTCATGCATACTGTATCGTTATGTACAGTTGTTGAAGCGTGTCTGTTTTAATTAGCTCTTCAACTTCCAACTGTTGTTTCCGTTGCATTGTGGCTTATAACAGTTTGAAATGTCTTTTTTTCAGTTGTGAACTTAACGTTGATTGATCTTCCGGGGTTGACAAAAGTTGCTGTAGGTATGCTGTTGTTCTATTTATTTAAAAGGAAAAGAACTTTTTCATTTGGTATTAGTGTTAGCCTCACCTCTGGCAACTTGTTCATTTGCTAATACAGAGGGACAGTCTGAAAGTATTGTGGAAGATATAGAGAATATGGTTCGCTCATATGTTGATAAGGTAACAAATTAACTTAATAATATTCTATTTTAACTATTATATCTTCACACTGAGCCCTTTGTTCTTGTATTACCTGCAGCATGGTTCCATTAGTCTGTAATCTGTTTTTTTGGTTCCTGTAACTATTCGCATCATGTATCTTATACATATCAAACTTAAGCATCTATCACTGATTCCATATGCATGGTCAACCACCTGCTGATATAACAATATACCTGGCTGTGTGGGGGCATTCTTTTAGTTTTCACCTGGTAGTCATTTATCCAGGTGAGAATAAGCTTTTTATACACGTTTTGCAGCCCAACTGTATTATTTTGGCTATATCTCCAGCAAACCAGGATATTGCAACTTCTGATGCAATTAAGCTCTCAAAAGAAGTTGATCCAACAGGTACTAGAATTTAGTGCACATAGGTACTTCCATATGTTCTCCATACAATGAATATTTAAAAGTTTCTGCATGATAAGGTGAAAGGACGTTTGGTGTGTTGACAAAGCTGGACCTAATGGACAAAGGAACAAATGCTCTCGATGTAAGATTGATATTGTCTGTCTTCTCCAATTTGAATTTCGCCTACTAAAAGATATCAAGTTGCTTATTTGTCTTGTTTGTTTATATTGTGGATTTCTGACATCTGTAAGGTTAATGATTGATCGCCGATCTACCTTGAATGTTCTTGTTTCCCCCTCTTAGGTTCTTGAGGGAAGAGCCTATCGGCTGCAGAATCCTTGGGTTGGAATCGTCAACCGCTCACAAGCAGATATTAATAGGAAGGTTGACATGATTTCAGCGAGGGAAAAAGAAAGGGAATATTTTGAAACCAGTCCTGACTATGCTCATTTAGCAAGTAGGATGGGTTCCGAGTATCTTGCTAAGCTTCTTTCTCAGGTAACTTTAAAGCTTGTTTCTTGGATTTATATCCGAACAAAACAGCATATTCAGTAATCTTATTACAACATTTCAGCATCTTGAATCTGTTATCAAAGCACGCATTCCTAGTATCACAGCGACAATCAACAAAACTATAGATGAACTTGAATCAGAGCTGGACATCATTGGGAAAGGTGTGGCTGCTGATCCAGGGGTTAGTCAGTTATATCATATTTAGACAATCAAAATAATCACGAGTGTATTTTCTCTTATCAATTTTGTGATAACTCTTTCCATAAATATCCCAGGCTCAACTGTACACCATATTGGACCTCTGCCGTGCTTTTGACCGTGTTTTCAAGGAACATCTTGATGGAGGGTTAGCATCATCCTTCTTTCGCATCTTGTATTTGTTTCTCTTGTTACATAGCTTGGAGGATTTACTTAAGAAAGCCTTTTGTTCATTTTTAAATTGTCAAGGAGCACACCATCTAATATCTTCTTACTCATTATTTCATTTGCATGTTCAGTTCTTGGACTAAGTTTTATGACTCCATGTATCCGTACTTTTTTTTCTTGCGTTCCTTCAGGATTCTCCCACTATCTTCTACGGTCAACATTTTTGAAAAATAAGTTCTCAAACATGCAGTTTCCTTATAAGCATTGCTAAGATCGTGTGATGTGAAGCATTTCTTCTATGTATGAAGTTTATGCTAACAATTCATCTTGCAATGTCTTTGTGGACTCGTATGCATCCATTGTGTTCTTATAGGTTTATTCTGTTTCATGAACTCTTGGTTGCCTAACTCAGGAGGTCAGGTGGAGATAGAATATATGGCGTGTTTGATCATAAGCTCCCTGCTGCTTTTAAGAAGCTTCCCTTTGACCGCTATCTGTCGGTGCAAAACGTGAAGAAGGTGGTTTCAGAAGCAGATGGCTATCAGCCCCATCTTATCGCCCCTGAACAAGGATACCGCCGGCTTATTGAAAAAGGCATTACCTATTTCAGAGGACCAGCTGAAGCCACGGTTGATGCGGTAAACTGACTACTCTCCATGGCTTGTCCTGCTATTTGTTGTGTTATAATCTTCCACTAAATGATCAACTGATGATGATATACGCTGGTCTTCAATTAGTGATGAAGCGTATGCATATATATTATTTTGCTTCTCTACTACAGTAGTATTCTGCATTGACATGGTACAAATGCCTGCATTCCATGTTTGGTAAAGCATCTAAGCTTCCAATTATCGGTAAGATAGTGTCAAAGTTGTCTGACAAATTTATGTTGCAGGTCCACGTTGTTCTAAAAGACTTGGTCAGGAAATCCATAGGGGAGACAGAGGTGGCTTCCTTTTTCCACTACTCTCGGTGCTTTGTCAGCTTAGCGTTATACGACAAACATCTCATGTTAAAAACATGAGATTGACATGGTATGCATGTTTTGCGGATTTCAGAAACTGAGAAGATTCCCGACTCTTCAAGCTGCGATTGCGACCGCTGCGAATGAAGCCCTGGAACGATTTCGGGAGGATGGGCGCAGCACCGCACTTCGTCTAGTGGACATGGAGGCTGCATACGTGACGGTGGAATTCTTCCGGAAGCTCCCTCAGGATCCTGCGGCTGATCCTAGTAGTAAGGTTGGAACTAAACCTCCAGTGGAGCCGTCGCCGTCGCCGGACCGCTACGGTGATGGGCACTTCAGGAATATTGCCTCCAACGTGTCCCGGTACATTCGGATGGTTGGAGACGAACTCTTGCAGAAGATCCCCAAGGCAGCTGTCCACTGCCAAGTTCGCGAGGCGAAGAGATCTCTGCTGAACCATTTCTACGTGCAGATCGGGAAGAAAGAGGTAGGCAATTGTCATGTGCTGTGATGTCTCGTCTGGGTACATACATTATCATAAATTGTTGGTTACTGAATTCACTAGATCAATAATGTCGTTGCTTGCTTTGATGGGATCCGGCCGTATCGGAGCAGGGTGGGGAGTTTGGGCATATGCTGGATGAGGACCCGGCAATGATGGAGCGCCGGCAGCAATGCTTGAAGAGGCTGGAGCTGTACAAATCTGCCAGGGATGAGGTCGATTCTGTGGCATGGAGCAGCAGCAGATAAGTGATACAGAGGAATGGAATTGGGCATATTTTCGGGGGCTTTTAGCAGCGCTACTTAGCTTTTATATACGTACTATACATATAGTCACGATCTAGCTGCTAGCAATACACGACATACATGTATGTAATAGTGGTACTTTATTAGTAGGGATATTCTTGTTGTGTATATATTATTATGGTATATTACTCTATCGGGGTCACAGAGACAGGAACAGGACATGGTTAAATTTCTCGTGCTAGCTGATGGAGATTACTCGTAATGTTCATTAAATAAAAATAAACATATGCAATCAAATGGCAAGAGCCGCATGCAATGCATTGCTGAAGAAGCAGGAAGGAATGGATTAATCGCAACTACTAACACCGATCGAGTGAGTCCGTGAGGTCAGTAGCTAGGCCCGGAGCCGAGCCCGTAGCTGCTGAGTATCTGGCCGCAGTTGGGGAGCGGCTGATTCTTGAGGAACCCCAGCGGGTTGGCGCGGCGCACGGTGGTGGCGAGCCCGGCCCCGGCGTCCGTGAGCAGCTCCACCTGCGCGCGGTCGCGGCCCACCTCCTTCTCGGCGCACCCGGGCACGGGGCTGCTGACCAGCACCACCGAGCACACCTCCTCGGCGCCGCGGTTGTCCACCAGCTCGATGCGGTACCGCCCCGCCGCGTCCGTGGTGCCCTCCGCCGACCGCTCCACCGCGCCGCTCGCGCTCATGTAGTGCCGGCACTCCAGACGCACCTTGGCGCCCGCGATCGGCGTCGTCGCGTTCGTCTCGAACCCCGCCCGGCACGTGTCGCAGTACACCGAGCCGTCCACGAAGAAGTCGTCGTCTCGCACCGCGGCCACCACCAGGCCACCGCCGCTGGCTGCCGCCGCCGCCGCCGTCACCACCACCGCGGCGAACAGCACCTCCCTTATGCACCGTCGTCGTCCCATCATCAACACCTCCGTTGTTAGTTATCGATTGATCGGCAGCGAGGTGCGATCGTCGCTGTCGAAACAATATATGTAGCAGTGGTTGTGGTAGCAAGCAGAGACGAACGTTCGATGCAGAGCAATTGTAGTAGCTTGGCTAAGAATGGCAGAGGCCGTCCGTCCGTCTATATGTCGTGATTTATAGTAGACCAAAACATAAATTCTGACCATCCGAAGAATAAAGATAAATGTAGTATCTATGTATATATGCTGGCACTGCCTCATCTCTCTACGTACATACATGTATGTCGTGCGAACTCAAAAGAATACAATACAATACAATACAATACACCGTATATAATGCGCAATGAAAACTAAATATACGCAGCAAGCAACAGAGTATCTAATAAGCCATGAGGCCGGCGGCGATCATGACGGCGGCGAGGGCGCCGAAACCGGTGACCTTGGTAGCGGCGGAAGAGGGCGTGGACGTGGGCGGGGGAGAGTTGGTGGCGGGAGCACCGGCGGGGGCGAGGGAGTTGGCGCTGGGCACGACGTCGATCTGGATCTTCATGCCTCCGGTGCAGTGGCCAGAGAAGCCGCAGATGAAGTAGCGGGTGCCCGGGGAGGCGAGGGCGATGGCGTCGTTGCCGGAGTTGTGGGTGGCGATGGGACGCGCGTTGGAGCAGGAGTCGTAGTCCGCCTTGCTCACCTCCACCACGTCGTGCGCCTGGGGCGAGTACTTGAACACGATCTGGTCACCCGGGTGGAACCTCTTGGAGGACACCCAGGTGCCGTAGTTGGTGCGCAGGTCCCAGGACCCGCCCGGCTCGCCCACGTTGTAGGTCGCGGCCGACGCCATGCCCAGCAGCACGGCTGCTGCCATCACGGCCACGAGCGCAAGCCTGCTTGTTGCCATGTCGTCTGCTGGAAGGGGAGATACTGAAGCAGAGGAGGAGACTATTGCCAAGCTTCTTGGAGCTAGAGGTTGCAGGAGGTTGCTTAATTATCTTGTGTGCTGATGAATGGATGATGGTTTGATCCTTTGGGTTGGATTTGGGCGCATATATATATAGCATGCATGTCTATATGTGATCCATGCGACAGCGCGGTAGGTGGCAGATACATGTACGTTAGGCAGGGAAATGCCGTTGTGAAAAGGTATACGTACGTACCGTCAGACATCAGAGTCAGAGCATAGCTTCCGTCGTGGACTACTGTTGTGCATTTTTGGTAATATAAAAGTTGTGACCACACCAGTATACTTGGTCCGGAGTCAATAAAAAAGACCGTGCACTTGTCCGAGTCAAAAATAGACGTATATATGTCACCAAGACGGGCAGATGTTGTTTCAAGTTTCAACGCGGCGAATCGGCAGCTAGCCAGGCTGGTTGGCGTGCTGACCTTTTCACCCGCGCCTTTGCCCCGTCGTATCTCCAGGCCCCATTCAAGATCGGGTCAGTTTCACACTTTCACACTGATACGCTGCTCTTGACTTCAATGCTACCTACTCCAACTCCAATCCCGTGTTGAACATGTCATCCATACATTTTACAGGTTCCGTTTTACATTTGAGTATAAAAAAAAAGCAGCCTACGGTATAATCCCTGCAGGAAATAAATAAGAACGTATCCGTGACACTAGTTTCATTAAAAAGAATGTAAATAAATCGAGGATGCATAGATTCGAAATCGACACAGTTCACCGGTTAAATTGAAAAAAAAAGAGAGAAAACAAGGAATCCTGACATGACTGATCCAGCTCAGCCAAATGATCGTTGATGCAAAAACATCCGGAAGAGAAACAAAGAATCCAGGCCGATTAGTAGGGCAATCTCTACTCAAGTCCCAGCAAAGAAGAATTCGGTGAAAATGTTAGAGAGAGAGAGAAATGGACATTGAGTTTTTTTTGGATTTAATTGGATTTGATCTATTTTTAGTTTAATTAAAATCAAATAAATCTTAAAATCGATATTAAATGCTAGGTACATTAAAATTCGATTAAATGTTGACTCAACTCAAATAGGTGGTTCGTGTGTACATCAATTGTGAAGTTGAAGAGGGGTACCACATGTTGTGATGCACGGTGGGCTACGTCTTGCCACTTGGCCCGTTTGATGGAGCCATCAAATAAGCAGTTATTTGGGAGAAATCACTTTAGAGTTTTGTTGTCTTACTATGAAGTTTACTCCATCTCAACGGTAACGTCACTGACGTTCCACTGGCAGTGTTGCGCATGCAAGCTTCGCCGAGGAGAGTACGCCTATGTGCGGGGTAACTCAGTTAGGGTGGCATTGGCGTGCGTGCAAGCTCTACTGTGGCGCGGACGACGCACATGCGAGCTGGGCTTAGGAGGAAGAAGGGGAGCCCTATTGTTGGTACTTCGCTTGTCGTACTAACACCACGTTGCGCTGTTCATCGAGTCGATCGAGTGAATCTTGCAATGCCTCTTCAGCCATATCTTTATTATAGGTCCGCACTCGAGGGAACCCATAGTTGAGCTCGGTTAGAAGAAGGGAGTGAAACCAATTGATCTGTTGGGCGTCGTTCAAAGACTCCATAGGACCGCTGGTAGCTCTTGCTTCCCCTTCCCAACAAAGGTTGCTAATCTTTCGAAGATTCGTGGTTTGAGGCCTTGTAGTATGCAGTCGTTAGCTCTCTCGACTTGATCGTTTGTCCGTGGATGTGCCATAGACAGAAGAAAATCACAACGAGAAGTCGAAGAAAGACGCACGGCAAGTACGCCCTACGATAAGATCCGAGAAGCATTAGAAGAACTCATAGCAACCTCACATCCCGGTGAAAAATATGAACAACTCCGGGACTTGCTCCGGTCAACGGCCCCGAGGACGCATGAAGAAAGAACCCAATCAAGACTACCCGCCCGATCAACGACCCATAGGCAAGAAGATCAAAATCAAAGGAAGTCCGCTTTCGAGAGACTTGGACCAAGTGGAAGTCATAACAGAGAAAGTAGAAGGGATCATAGTCAAGGCCACCGAGTTGAACAACCAAGAAAGACCAGGAGTAGGGCGCCAGCCCAGACGGCCTCGCAGAATTACTCTCATCAAAACGACAGTTGGCTAGAAGGAGGTGCTGAATCGGAATTCAAAGAAGCCGAAACGTACGATAGATTTTCCTGTTTTGCAAACAGACTTGCGTCAATACGACTACCTCACAAGTTCAAACCGTCCAACCACTCTAAGTATGATGACAAAACTGAACCAAGGCAGTGGCTCAGGATATATTCACAATCAATTGAACTAGCCGGAGGAGACGATGATATCAAGACCCTGTTCTTTCCCATGGCCCTGAAAACCATGCCTCTCCAATGGTTCGACAAATTAAATCCAGGATCAATCAGAAATTGAGAGGACTTGCAAAGAGCTTTTTGTGAAAATTTCGTAGGGATCATTACACACCCGATCACTCACGCAGAATTAAAAGGACTCAAGCAGAAGGGAAGTGAGAGTCTCAGAGATTACTATCGACGATTCGGCGAACTACGGGCTCAAGTGCATGACATCACCGAACGAGAAGTAATTGAAGCTTTCTCTCACGGAATCATAGCTAGGTGGCAATTTTAAGACTTCTGCAAAGAAAATCCAAGAAACAACGAAGAATTCAGACGAATAGTAGAAAGATGATTACTGCAGAAGAGAAGACACGAGAGAGGTTCCCGGATAGAAGCAACCGAGACAACCAAAATCATCGAAATAGCAGACATCATGAAAGAAAACGTAGACCAGACAACACCGTGGCAATGGCTGACAGATCAAAGAAGTTTTCTAAACCCAGAAGATATGACGACATCGAAAACATACGTTGCCCATTGCACCCTAATGGGAAGCACACTATCGGAAATTGCTACACCTTCAATGATCGATACACAAGAAAAGATAGTAAGGAAAACACCAAAGAAGACAATCAGAAAAAAGATGAAGACAACCACGAAAACAAAGGATTCCAAAAATCTAGGGGGACGGTAGCAGTGATCTTCTCCGGGGCCCTAGATTGTAGAAGCAAACATCAAGAAAAATTAGCACTACGGACTATCATGACAGCAGAACCGGCTACTCCAAGATATATCAATTGGTCACAGTATCCAATCCAATTTTCTAGAGAAGACCAATGGACTAGCATGGGAAATGCAGGCCATTACCCACTGGTTCTAGATCCAACTATTGCCGGTATGACTGTCACCAAAGTACTAATCGACGGGGGAGCCGGACTCAACATTATCTTCTCAGAAACGCTAAGGAAGATGGGACTGCAACTCGCCGGGATGATTACACCAACAAGTACACCTTTTTATGGCATAGTACCCGGCAAGGCAGCCATGCCACTTGGACAAATTACTCTACCCGTTACTTTTGGAACCCCTTCAAATTACCGTACAGAGTTCATCAAGTTTGAGGTTGCAGACTTCGATTCATCATACCATGCAATCCTCGGACGCCCAGCGCTAGCAAAATTCATGGCAATACCACATTATCCGTACCTACTGCTTAAGATGCCAGGATCTAACGGTGTCCTTTCTCTACGAAGTGATTTGAAGCACGCTTTTGACTGTGACGTTCAGGCAATCCAAATCACGGCCAAAGCACAAGCCGAAAGTGGAAGAAAAGAAATAGCCACTATTGCCGCAGAAATAAGCCAAGAAGAACTAGAGATACCGGCTAAAAAGCTGAGCATCCTCGTACCACCAAAAGAAGCTGACGTCAAGCAAATCGACCTGGGCACTGGCGATCCCTCTAAGACAGCAACCATCAGCGCCCACCTCTCGGCAAAATAGGAACTCGCGCTCACCAACTTTCTTCGGGACAACAAAGATATCTTCGCTTAGAAGTCGGCCGACATGCCAGGTGTCCCAAGAGAGTTGGCTGAGCACAGAATTGATGTCAATGAAAGCTCCAAGCCTGTAAAGCAATGGCTACGATGATTCTCACCTGACAAGAAGGCAGCGATTAAAAAAGAAATCACAAAACTAATGGCGGCTGGATTCATTAGAGAAATCCTTCATCT